CCCTGAATCATGCCCAATTTACATTTCAAAAATCAGCTACAGAGGTTGGAAAAAGTAACTTCAAGAAAATGTAGGATATATATATATATATATATATTTTTTTTTTTTGGTCCCAGGGATCGAACTTGGGTCCTTGCGCCTGGAAGGCAGGCGGCAGAACCACTGAGCTAAATCCCCAGCCCAAGAAAATGTAGGATATATTTTATGGTTGAAAGTTTTCACAAGAAAAATGAACTATTAAAATAAAATATATGCTATACTAAATAGCTGAACAAAGGAAATTCTGATATGTGGTGTGTGTGTGTGTGTTTGCCTGATAGTAGTTATGTTGCTGCAGATATGTGTGGGTAATATAGGACAAAGAAATTAACGGCTGAACTTGTGACTTCTTCCCTCCCTGTCTAAGCATTACAAGAATGCAAGCCATGATCACACAAAGCATACTGTATTACAAGAGGCCAAAACAGCATTTTAGTTTGATAGGTAACCAAGGGAACAAATGCTATCTATGGATGGTCTTTTCTGGCTGTCCAAACATGTTTGTTATCAGCATTGGCCTGTCAGGACTTGGCTTCTGATCTTAACCAGCTGTGTAGGAAGTAAGAAGTAGTCACTTCTTTTCTCTGTAAAATGGAATTGGACTAGACTATTTCTAAGGTCCTTCTAACTCTCAAATCCTTTGATTTAATGGTCCTGTGTTTCTATTCTGATTTGTGGTGTATTAGCCAGTTCACACGGCCAGCCAAGATCCAATCCAGATACCATGTGGCTCCTCCCCATTTGTCACAGTAATAACATATTTTGTCACCTTATTACATTGGATCAACATAATGGGAAGTTACTATGTTTTATCTTTAACTGACAAATAATAATTCTCTATATTTTTTTTTAAATAAGGAAGCGATATAGCATCTAACGTTTTCTAAAGACTAGGATATTCTGAAATATGCATTCTATTTTTACATACCTGAGTAAAACAGGTAATTTAAACACTATTTGTGTCCGAAGATACCGTGTTTGGAAAAGGCAAGCAGCTTCAGAAACTGTTTAAGTTGCTAATAAACAGAAGTTTACTGGATGGGAAGGATCACAATAACAGCAGTTTAGACAAGAAAGCTTTTTCCAAAGCTTGAAGCCTGGGCTAGGAATCCCACTCATGCAGTCTCAGGGCTCCCTGTAGCTGCTGCTATTGTCACACCCAGCACACTGCTAAAACCCCTCAATTACTGATCTCCTTGATTACAAATTGCAAGCTCCCGGAAGGCAATAATTGTCTCCTTCATTGAAGAAATGGTAGTGAACGGCCCATGGTTAGGATTCTATAAGTAACTGTTGGGTAGCTGAGGAATAAATAACCACCTATCCTAGGGCCAGCAGTTTAGATCAGCAGCACTGCACTGGGCCTGCCTGGCAAGAACAAGATCCTGAGTTTGATTCCCAGTACTGGAAAAAAAAACAAACAGCTATCCTCACTAATGTGCTAGGAGCAACTGCCACAGGCAAGAATAACACTATGTGACATAATCATAAGAGATACTATCATGCCTGGTGTTCACTGGTTACTGAGTGGGCATAGGTTCCCCTCTAAATATGATTGATAGAGTCTGCAGAAGTTCCCATTCAACAATGCCCTTCAGTATGATATTATACCTCCCAACTATGGATAGCACCAAAGGATACATGACATTTTGATGAGGCCATTTTGATTATTTATCCAACTCCTTACACATACTTCAGCAAAATTTACAATCAGTATTAGTCATAAGCAGCTAAGTACAAAGAAGGAATATTAATTCAAGACAGGAAAAATGAGTTGGTGTTAGCTATAGTTAGTAGGAAATTCCTCTGGCTATATTTTATAAGAATTAGGTGGAATATCTACCATGTAATTGCTTTGCATACTGTTTGGTAAAGTATTAACAATTCCCCTTCTGAGTGAGATTTTGACCTTGGTTAACTTTTCTAGCTCTGTTCCCCTGGCAACCTAATAGAGTCGCAAGTTAACTATGTTGCTAAGCAACATTACTTAGGGTAGAAATGACTCCTAAATGGTAAACTGCACCTGGACTGGATGTGGAGAACTGTAAATGCCTGATAGGAAGCCACAGCTTTGGGCTTCCCAAGTACAGTGACTCTTAGAACAGACATGTCTTTCATAGAAATCTCAGTGATTATGTCTATGGACATGTTATGAGATATTTGTTCCTGTGGGATAAGAGGCTTTTTAAACCAAAGCAGCTTCCACACTTGCCTCATCTGTCCGCTTTCACCTGAGTGACATCATATGGAGAGGTGCAGGGACTCCCGTAGAAGAACAACACCTGGTTCTTCACTGCTGCTGAGCTGTGCTTCCCATTCTATGTCCTTCTAAAAGAATCTCATGTTAAGCTTGGTGGCTTATGGGTCTGAATGTTTGTAAAAATTCATTTGAGGCTAAGTAGACCTCTGGAAGGCACTGTAGTACTATTCACTTGTTTTTCTGATAGTAGTAGAAGCCCCACAGGGGCTATGGGTGGGTAGGAAAAAATGTGTCACTGTCTGGTATGGGTTTTTTTTTCTGTTACCAAAGAAAATCCTGATCATACCCTTCTCAGCCTTCCTGACAGATAATCCGTATTCATCACACATCACCAAGGCATATTTCAAACTGATGCCTTCCCTCAAAATCCCCAAGCTTATTACTACTAAGCCTTCTTAATCAAAGCACATAATCCCCACACTGACCTCCACTGACAAAGGTCCACAGTCATATGATAGATATAACAATTGACCCCACCGAAGCCATAGCTGCCAATGAAGAGATGGCAATAGGAAAATTATGTACATGAGGGTCAAAACAGATGCTAAATGTTCACCTTCAGCTATGGAGATCCTGTATCATCTGATCACATGACAATATGACTTACTGTCATCTTTTAAAACTAACATGTTTAAAAAAAAAAAAACTAACATGTTAGCAACCAAGCAAACTACTCTTTCTCCTCCAAAACTTTACATTTTTCTCTACAGAAGCATCATTTGAACACAAGAACTCAAATTTCCAGTACTACAATGACAGGTTTGAGAAATATAGGAATATTAGGAAGAAAGAGAACTATAAAAGAAGCAAAAATCAATGAAACATTGTCTATCATACGGAACTGAATAAAGTGCTCCCATTTTGGGGTAGAGGATCCCATAATCACAAGAACGCACAAGACAAGCTCCAGAAATCAACAACAGGAAGTACAGTGGCAGTGTTCAAACAGAGACTTCTTGCCCATCCAGCCCTTTCCCCTCCCTACCCCCTTACGCTAGACTTCACAGAGATATTTCTTTCCCCAGTACACAAAGGATACACAAGCAAACCTAGATAAAAATGCAAATAAAAATCTGAGTCCAATGGACAAAGGCCACCTCACTCTTCCCACTGCTCTCAGAATCAGCACATGCACCCCTACCTGGTGAATTCCTCTCAGCAGGTTTGTCAGGACATCAATGAACAACAACAAAAAACCATAACATCCTGAGCCACCAGAACACTCAACTTCACAACATTTTGCTGGCCATTAAGCAGCAGCTTTCTTAAAGAATATTCAAAGTCTAGTGGCCACCAAAATATTTACATTAGAACGACATCTTTCTGGGCTGGGGCGCTCAGTGGTGTCGCACCTGCCTCGAAAGTGCAAGGTCCTGTGTTCCATCCCTGGTACCAAAAAAAAAAAAGAATGACATCTTTCTGCCAAATGATCAGAAATCATAATGTTCAGGGTTGTTTCTTTTTCTATTTCTTTAATGTCTCAGTATGTAGCCCAGGCTGTCCTTGAACTCACAGTGATCCTCTTGCCTCAGCCTTCTGAGTGCTGGAATTCAGGCCCCAGCGTGTGTCACTACACCTGGCTTCAGGGTCATTTCTTTTCTTTTTTTTTTTTGGTACCAAGGATCAAACTCAGGTCCTTCCGCTTGAGCTTGCAAGGCAGGCCTCAGAATCACTGAGCTAAATCCCCAGCCCAAGGTAATTTCTTAATGATAACACTTAAACAAGTCTTATTTACACTCCTGCCCAACTCTTGAGAGTGGGGTCTCTATCCCCTAAGAGAAACAACATTCTAAGAATGCCACTTTTTAATTCCATTACAAGTAGGAATCTTGTTCTCATTCATGCATCATATGTACTATGGGACAAAAATATCCCTTTTTGGATTTGGACTGACTGCCAGTAAGATACCAGAATATAAACTTAACTATTAATGGTCTTTGTTGGGCCCAGCTGTGAATTTACATATTATGAAAATGTCCCAATAGGCTGGGCTATAGCTCAATGATAGTTCATTTGGTTAGCATGTGTAAGGCCCTGGGTTCCATTCCCAGCAAGGGGATTTGGGGGAGGCAGTTCCACAAATTAAACCTCAAAGACATTGTGATTGTATATACTAGCCATCAAATGTGAACATGTATTTAACAGAGGACCAGTTTATTATCTGATGGTCCAAATAAAGGAAGTATCTCTTTTAAAAGTGATAGAATTAGGGGCAGGGATTTAGCTCAGTGATTTTGCTGCCTGCTGCGCAAGCACAAAGACCGGAGTTCGATCCCTGGTACAAAAAAAAAAAAGTCATAGAATTCATAGTTATTACCAATGACTGGTCATATTGTGTATTACACAAATTCTAAACAGTCACCAAGAAATGCAACAATCAGACATCATGGAAGAAAGCAAATCACTTAAATGCTAAGTTTCATGTTCTGTATTCATCCCAATAATTATGCTCCTTTGTAATTTAACAAAAAGGTCAGAGTCTAGTTCTGGGTGTAAGAATCAGTTTCTACATCATAAAACAAAATCAGATGTTGGGCAAGGTCTGAATCACCTGGCTTCAGCCACAGAAAACAAAATTAAGTTCACTCATTACAGTTCATTTTAAAAATTCAACTTTAGAAGCCAAGCATGGTAGTGCACACCTGTAATCCTAGCACTCAGGAGGCTGAGGCAGGAGGATTGCCGCAAGTTTGAGACCACCCTGGGCTATATAGTGAGTTCAAGGCCAGCCTGAACTACATAGTGAGACCTTAAAGAAATAAACAAACAGGGAAAAATCCAACTTTGTTTTATAGTGGGCTTTCTGACATTTTGAACTGGACAACTCTTCGTTGTATGAGCCTGTCCTATGCATTATAGGATGTTTAGAAGGACCCCCTAGCTTCTACCCACTAGATGCTGGCAGCACCCTATCCTGTGTCATAACAACTTAGGACATCTCCAGACACTCCCAAATGTCCTCTTCAGGGTAAACTCGCTCCCCATTGAGAATCGCTGTCTTAACAGTGAAATCTCTAATGTGAAATTTTTTACTCAGTGATATGAATAGGTCACAGGATCACTGAAGAGGATCGTGGCACCACCAGAGACAGTAGACAGAGAAGTTGATCTGTGAGGTAGAAAAGTCATATTTAAAACATCAGAAATAAATAAGAAAGCAAAACTGACAAAATAAATCTTTGCAAAATAAATCTACATATCCATTTAAATTTCTTTTTGCTATGGTCTCTTTTTTAAAAATAACAGCTAACATGTTCGTTTCAGATAAGAAAATTTTCCTGGTCCCTGATCATTTTCAATGTATAACTCTGGATCTAGAATAATATTTTTCAATATGACCTGTGGACAAGACCAGTTTTTAGATTTCCAATCTTCTGCAGAACAATATGTGATCTCTCTGTGTGGCCTGGTATCTAGCTTTTGTCCAAGGCACTCACCAATTGCCACCTTGAGCTGGTCCATGCCCTGTTCAAGATGAGGCCACTGATCGCATGGGTAGGTGTTGCCTGTCACAGCAATGTCAAAGTTTCTTAAAAGTTGAGTGCAATGGTGGACACCTATAATTCCAGTGACTTGGGAATGCTGAGGCAGAAAAGATCACAAGCTCGAGGCTGGGCAACTTAGTGAGACTACCTCAAAACGAAAAAATGAAAAGGGGTGGGGATATATCTCAGTCCCCCCATGGTTCAATCCCCAGTACCACAGAAAAAAAAAAGTATCAAAAAATTTTCTTTATGCTTAATTTCTGATTCTCCTGTCTCAGACCACAATTTACAGAGCAGTGCCTGCCCGTGGCCGTAGCTTGAGAAGCACTGTCCTAGAAGTACAACTATGACTGAGAAGTATGATTCAACACTTTTCTAGGGCCTGGGAGCACAGTGCTGCAAAAAAACCCAACCCAAAACCAAAATTTTCTAACTCTTCAACAACCAGACTAACACTTACAAGCTAATTTACAATGCTTGTTTTTGTTCAAGAGGCACACACACACACACACACACACACGCAATTGTACTACCTTTTGAGACACACGGTAGTAAAATTACAGGAAAGCAAGAGGTTTCCTTTTAAAATCCATTTTGGGTATTTTAACGTATGACAAAATTATGAAAGTACTTTCAAGTACATCCTTTATCCCAAGTATCTCCTGCCCTTTAAAGAAGTTCAGCCCTGCCAGGTGTGGTGGCGTACGCCTGTAGTCCCAGCACTTGGGAGGCTGAGGCAGGAGGATTGTCATGAGTTTGAGGCCTGCCTGGGCTGCATAGTGAGTTCAAGGCCAGCCTGAACTACATAGTGAGACCCTGTCTCAAAAGACCAAAAAAAAAAAAAAGAGAGAGAGAAGTTCAGACTTTTTTGTTAAAATATGTGGGTGTAGGGTGGGTGAAATGCAGACAAGTTTTAAAACCTGTTCTATTAACCTTCTCTTTCCTTTGAGGTCTTTTAAAAGCTAAGTGATTTAGAGGACACTTGCCCTCCAATTAAAGTTCTGGGCATAAACTGAGTAAAACAAGGTCAAGAGGTGGCTACATTTCCAGGCTATACAGCAAGTCTCTGGGAAATGGCTGGGAAACAGGAGAGCATTTTGAGTTTAGTGAAGATGACTTGTTGTATATCAGAACACAGTGTGTGTGTGTGTGTGTGTGTGTGTGTGTGTGTAATGGACAAATACCAAACTAGACAGGGCTACCACTCATCCTGGGTCATAGGGTTTCTTTCTGGGGCAAATGTAAAATTTAATTCAACTGGGCAATCTAGGCTACCTTTAATAAGTCTTTCAGCTCATTTCCATGCTCATTTTAACATAAGTACTCCCAGCCTTTAAAATTACAGTCTTAGCTTTCAAGGGTAACTTTTATTATCATGTAGACAGACAGCCCTGCTTTACATCAACAAAACTTCCTCTTTCATACTTCATCAGAAAATTATGATGTGGAATCCATTAGGAGAGGGTTGGCAAAGGGAAGACTGATCCCCAAACTTTGAGTATTCTTACTACCTTTTCAGAGAAAGAGGATGATGACAAAGGAATGCAGAGGACTGAGACAATGTGAAAAACGAGCTTGGAGATTTTCTTCTCTTCCTAACCAGAGTTAGATGATAGTAGGAAAAACAAGAAGTTTCAGGTCCAACCTTGATTCACTCAAAATTAAAGGGTGGCCTCCAAAGCCCTCAGAAACCAAGAGTAGGACACTAAAAAGCCATTGGTCTTTTCAGTCACAAAACCCAGCCAAACCCAACAAAAGTGCAATTATAAAAAAAAAAAAGAAGCAATTATAGTGACAGTGAAAAAAATGTTCCTTTTAGGGCTCCACAAAATCAGACAAATGGTGGCTTTCACCACAGAATGAGCCAGAACACATTCTAAAACGTCTTCCCTTCCAATTTATTGCTATGTAAGTGTCTGGTGGTCTGATAAGTTGGACTGAATTTGTGGTCTGTCATCAGAACCCTCTTTGGCAGGGTCATTCTCCTCACCAGACTCCACATAGATTGGCCAGTCATTGTCTGTGTCACCCTTCTCCTGGCTTTCGGATGAAGCCTCCACCAGGCTAAGGTTAATGGGCATCAGATCATTGTCGTCCTCGTGAGTGTCTGTGATACAGGTGCAGCTGTCACATAGCCCAAAGCGCCGCAGCCCCTGAGACAAGTTGCTGGTGAAGGTTCTTCGGCAGCCCTTGCAGATGATTGGACGATTGGATCTGTGGACCTATGATCACAAGCAAATACATGTCACTTGAAAGGGGCTGAGCCATGCACTAGAGCCCAATGTGACTTGGCCCCTCCCTGACCCTCCCAGCCCCATTTCCTGTCCTCTTTCCCTTGTTCCCTCTGCCAGTCTGAGTCTCACCAAGGTCCTTTCAATCCTAGGGCCATCAGCCATGCATGCAGCATTTCCTCCTCCCTATCATCAGCTCTGCACCCCTCTCTAAGGCCTTTCAGAGAAGTCTTCCATGATGCTCTAGGTCAGCTTAGGTCCCTCAACTATATACTCTCACCTATATGTCTTCCTTTGTTGTACTTCTCACAGATCACTGGTAAAACTTACTAGGTTGTAAGCTCCAAGAGAGTGGGACAGAGGCGATCTCATTCATTCTTTTTTTTTTTTGGTACGGGGATCGAACTCAAGACCTTGTGCTTGTGAGGCAGGCGAGGTCCCACTGAGCTAAATCTCTGGCCCGATGTCATTCATTCTTGGATCCCTACTGCTTGGCATCTAAAGAGCACTCAGTGAACTGATCAGGATTTTAGACTTTTATAAAATATACCTTAGATTGTTCCATTATTAGGAAGGCAGATTTGTTAGATAGTAGATTCCCCAGATGTGTCAGCAGATGTCTCACCCTAACTTTCTCATTGATAAATACATTGCTTACTTAGGCGAAGAGCTTTGCATCCTAGAAAAGAGAAGCTGATCTCCTCCCACACTGCTCCCAAGGACAGCAGCCCCTCTGGAAAAAGAACTATGTTTCTAATGTGTGCAGTCTTCAGGAACTCCAGTCAGCAGGGGCTCTGAGAATCAATCAGAGCCTCTCTTTCAGAGGGTTCTGGATGCAGAATACACACAAGAGGAAGGAACAGCGGCTGTGGTGGCACAAGCCTGTAATACCAGCACATGGGAGACTTAGGCAGGGGAATCAAGTTCAAGACCAGCCTGAGCTACGAGTCAAGACCCTGTCTCAAAAAACAATAAACAAGGGGCTGGGATTTAGCTCAGTGGTTCTGGTGCCTACCTTTCAAGCACAAGGTCCCCAAAAACAAAAACAAAAAACAATAAACAACAACAACCAAGGAGGGCAGGACAGGGAGAAGCTGATGCAGAACAACCAACAATTATAACCATTCCAGTGGCTGAGGAGAGTGAGTGTAAAGTGGCATCTTATGGTGGCTTTGATGTGCGTTTACCCTATGAGTAATAATGTTGAAGAAATGTCTATTCAAATCCTTTGCCTGTGTTCAATTGGATTGTCTTCTCACTATTTTATTGTAACAATTATTTGTATATTTTAGACATATGTCCTATAAATGTTTTATCCCATTCTATGGGATTTTCACTTGTTTGCTTGTTTGTGGTACTGGAGATTAAATCCAAGGCATTTGCAGTGAGCCACATCCCTATCCTTTTTAAAATTTGAGACAAAATAAATAAATAAAATATAATTTGAGACAGGGGGCCAGGGACTTGGCTCAGCGGCACCATGCCTGCCTGGCAAGCACAAGGTCCTGAGTTCCATCCCCAGTACCAAAAAAAAAAAAAAAAAAAAAAAATTGAGACAGAGGGGTCTAAGTAACTGAGTGTAAAAAAAATTCTTAAATGTCATTGGCATATGTTTACTACTGATCACACTCACCATTGCGAGCTCGGACCTGTACATAACATATCTTAATTCTTTTGTGTCCCTTACCCCTTCCCCTTCCTCCCTCTTCCCAAAGCACCAAATTGCCAGGCTGGGCTAGAACTTGTGTTTCTCTGGTATCACCCTTCCAGAGTGCTGGGACTATAGGCCTGCAAAACCACGGCTGGCTCACTTTTTTCAGTGCTGGGCATTGAATCCAGGGCCTCATGTATACTAAGCAAGCCTTCATCCACTGAGCTATAACTCCAGCCCCATTTTTGTTGTCGCTGTCGGGTATTTTTGTTTGTTTTTTTGGTACTGGGGATCGAACTCAGATCCTTGCGCTTATGAGGCAGGCAGGAGAACCACTGAGCTCAATCCCCAGCCTTGTCGTTTTTTAAGACAGGGCCTCGCTCTGTAGCCCAGCTGGACTTAAACTTACAATCCTCCTGCCTCAGCTTCCCAAGAACTGGGATTACAGGCATGTGCCATCATGTCCAGCTTCCAGCCCCACATTCTCGATAGCATCCTTTGAAGTCCAAACTATTTTCATGTTGGATTTTCCAAAGATTGATTACTTTGTTCAAAGATGATCATAAATGCAAAATCTTTCTCATGGCCTGAATGTTCTGTAGCTGGTAGGAATTACCAGCCCACATGGAGACAGAATCCCATGGGCCAGCTAGTTAGAAGAGAAGTCCCCTTGGGCTGGAGCTCTCTTCACTGCCCACAGGTAGCTCTTAAATGGCAGCACCCCACTCCCACCCCGGGTTCTGCAATTTGTGAGAAACTGAGGATTCAGCTAACCATTTGTTTTAACTTTCTCTAAGTGCCACCAGCCCAGGTTTAATTCGGTAGCAGAAACATATGCTCAGAATTCTCTGAAAATCCCCCACCAGACGAAGAAGTGAACAACAAGCTACCTTTACCCTCGCATTAGGTAAGATGGGGAACAGCCCTCAGTGCAGGAACACTGCCAGTGAGACACTGTCAACAGGGCACTTACGCTCAGGGCGTGGCTCCGCAGGTGCTCCTGTCGGGTGAACCTCTTGCCACAGGTCTCACAAGGGTAGGGCCGCTCGCCTGTGTGGGAGCGGATGTGGCGCTTGAGGATGCCTTTCTGTTTGGCAGTGTACGGGCAGAAAGGACACTTGTGGAGCTTGATGGGGACCACCAGCACATCACCTGAGGAACCCAATGGATTGATTTAGCTGTATTGTAAGCAATGACAAACCCAGGCACTCTCCGATGGATGGATCTGGAGCTGGGGGATCTCACTGGCCAGATAGACAAGGAAGACACCAACCCTGCCACCAGCCAACAGTGAGACATTGTCTGTAGTTACAATCCTGTCTGGCTCTCAATCAGTTAGAGGCTCAAGTGGGCTTCTAATATCAGGTTACTGCAGGGAACAACAAGAGGTATGAGCTCACATTTCTCTGAATGTGACTCACAGTCTGAAAAACAGCTTACTTACAACCACAGAACTACATACATGCTATCATGTGGATAGCTGGAAAAGCTTCCCAAAACAATACTCCTTCTCGGAATGTCTACTCTGTTTGATTTCATGGTAAAATGAGAAATGAGCTGGGCATGGTGGCACATGACTGTAATCTTAGCACTCGGGAGGCTGAAACAGGAGGATTGCTGTGAGTTCGAGGCCAGCCTGGGCTACATGGAGAGTTCAAGGCCAGCCTGAACTACAAAGCAAGACCCTGGCTCAAAAATAAAAAAAGACCAAGTGAGACTTTGTCAGGAACTGAACTGTGTCCCCACAGAAATTTATACCTTAAAGCCCTGACTTTTTTTTTCATTAAGTTTATTGGTACATTTTAGGTATACAGTACAGTTACATTCATCATTGGGATCTTGTACCTTTACATGATGTATCTTGGTTCTTATTTTTTCCCCATTCTCCTGCCCTCTCTTCACCCCCTCCACCCT